AGCAATAAATGTCATTATCTTTTTAATCTGAGCATAAAATATTTTAAAAATGAGTTCTGAAGAGACAAGGAATGTATTTCAATGAATTGCTTGTGACAAATTGAAAGAAAAATCTTTTAACGAAATGAAAATTCCAATTTCGAAAATATTTGGTATAAAAAGTCCTTTTTCAAGAGTTATCTTTCCTAATTACCCAAGACTCAAAACACAAAGGAACGTTTGAACATTTCATCTAAATTTCAAAATAAAGCTTTAAACTTCCATAATATATATTGAATTCAATAAAGCAAATGTATAAATTAACACCAACATAGTAAATTGTGCAAGAAATTTACATTTTTAATTTCAACAAGGTTGTAAATTTGAACTCGAATTTCCTCCATGCAAACACGTTGATTGATAGATCCCACTGCTTCGACATGTCAGAAATTGCACATTACTTGTTTGGCGAAGATTTGGCTGTTGTTTTCTTTTGTTTCTGCTAAAAAGTATCTCCTCTTGGTGTATGTAAAATGAATCCGTTACTTTGCTTTCACTGTTTATAACACCGCATGTTTCATCTATTTTTAAAGCGTTTTAAAGGTCAGGGTCATATAAGTTAGGTAACCATACTAGTCGACCCCAAACTAATTCGGTCGAAACAATGGAGGTGTATTTTTTTGTGTAGTACGTCATCAAAAAGTGGTGTAATGAGCCTCCTTAAGCAATATAAGGGATATCTGAGCTAAAAAGAATTCGCGATTAAGTGTAGATTAAGATGATACTGGCTATCTACGTTCACATTAATTTTTTTCATGAATTTGAACTTTAATATTCCCAAGTTTCTGTGGGTTAAATTGACGTTAAACTGCATCTGATATTTTTAATTCGATCCGGAAATGAATGTATATATACATGTATTTTTGTTTTAAATCTCGAATATCTATGAAACCTGATTGATTTTTATTATAGTGTAAATTACAGGAATTCAGATCTTTATTTAAAGCTACAAAAAATAGAAAGATCTTTTTAATTTTCTTTTGTCTGCACACCACTTTTGACTTTAAAACAAGGATTCTCAGGATTTAATGAATATAAATGTTCTTTGTGAACACTGCATCTAAATCTAACATTTTTTCACAGCACGTATTTCAATGAATGTAGACTTCAAAATATACCTTTACTAGATGATGATAACTTTTATAATGGATACGGGTTAATAATAACTAAGTTTATTAAATGTTTACTTTTTAATATCAAAGGAAGCAGTGAGTCGGAAATGTGTAACAGCTCTTTTCCCTATAGACACAAAAAAAAAATTAATGAAAATTGGGACTGATCGCGGAGTGGCAATAAAATCAATAAGGGCCGCCACGCTAACCATTTTTTGCTTTGCAAGGTACCGATAAATATGACCCCCCAATTTTTTCCAATACGGTAGACGTACTATTTTCCACGGGGTCATAATTCCGCAGAATCTCAATTTCTGTTTAATCCGCGGGTAGAAAATTACGCGGATTTTCTTGATTGTCACTAAATGCCTTACATTTACATTAAGTACGCCTGGACAAATTTCCGCGGAAAATTTGTGACTGCGTACATAGCGTATATTAGTACCACGCGGAAAAAAGTACTTTTACAGTAATTTCAACGAATCCCTCTCATCCAAAATGCCCCCCCCCCCCCAAAAAAAAGTGTTTGAATTTTCTTGTTAACTTACGTCGCTTCCTAAATCCGTCGTCTTCTAGATGTTTTGGGATCCCTGACAGATAATTACAATCGTTTTTGTTTATGTAGCAATTTTTATTTAAAATTAAGATACCAGGTGAAATATAGGCCTTTTTTTCTTAATTCATCGTGGGATATAAACAACTCTTAAAATATAGACTGGTGCATTCAAAAGTTTATCGAGATGGCACAATAAGCAACAAATATAGAGCATGAAATTAAATATCAACATTTTCGAGTATCTTTTTTCATATTAATTTTCAATCTGGCTGCGGGAAGGATATAATTTCAAATCTATTCGTATGTCTTTGCCGTATATATGTACGTATACATGTGTGTTTATATCAGAATGCAACCATGTATGGCCTAGGAATATTGATAAATTTGAACAGCTTTTGCAAAGAATTATTTTATTTTATATGGGGTAGTGTTTTGAATAAAAAAAATTATAAGAAAATCAAACGAGATCTACTGTGACGTCATCTTTGCGTTATTACGTAATTTATTCAAATCTGCTGATGGTAGCTATGAACTCTCTCATTTCCAAAATAAAATTTTACCGTTTGCATAAAAAAGAAGCCCGTTTTCTTCTTTGCTAATTAATACGATTACTCAATTGATCTTTTTTTATTGAGCGTTTTCTTTGGCTCTTAATCCTTATCGGAAATATTTGTCAGATGCAAGTTAGGCCTACATATCGCAGGGCCATCGTCATCTGCCTTATTATCTTTGCATATTTTCCAGTTTGTATGCTATTTTTTTGACAAATAGACTTACATGGAAAATGAATATATTGCCGATGCATGAAGTATTTTTTATTAACATTTTTTTATGAATTATGGTAACATAATTTCACATAAATAAAATTACACCTCTCAATGAATTTTCAATCCGCCCCCGGAAATAGTAATATAAAGTCAAAATAAACATACTGCACATTCCTCGAGCAAAATCTTATCCCTGTTTTCATCAGTCTTTCATCAAAATGTTTTGAAATATATGTGTTTGATTTTGCTCAGGACTGTGCACTGTCAACCGGTAAAAAAGTCTGTAACATGAAAGAAATAATGTAATGATTTCCGTATTACATACATTTCATACATTCAAAGTTTTAGTTCTATTTTTGAGTGTATTTCTTTATATCAATTTGTTTTCCTGTTCACAGAAATAAAAAAAAAATAACTTAGATGACAAGCACAGATTTGTCATTAAATATACTGCTTCCGGATAAGGAAGTTAATACTTTAAAAAAAAACTTGATTCGTGATTGTGTGAAGGTACTGATTCATCATATCTGCAAAGCTTAAGTTTTCTGATACAGTACAGAAAATTGTCGATAGAAAAAAATAGTAAAATTTCTTCAATTATTAATACTTTAATTTTAAATAATGCCTGACATAAGTCATTTTACTTTATTTTATTTTTATATTTTAACAATGTGTACGTGTTAGCAGAATTTGTATCATCCATTTTCAAAAAAAGTCGTTGAAATGATATCTTCTTATTAAGGACAGATTATATATACAAACGTTTTTCAACAAATATGAAAAAAACAACTTGAGTCATGTTTTAATGAGTAGAATGAATTACTTTCACCGCGTAGTTTTTAATTTTTATTCACATTTTCACAAAAATGGGATTTGAAGTAAAAAAAAAATATTTGTATAGATAAATAGGGATGGTTTCAGAAAGGCAGAATTTAAACGTCACAGAAGGTTCACAAATTCTTCATATTCTAGAAATTTATTATTTGCATAATTTTCAATGAAATTAAGCCAAAAATATATACTTATCTAGGCATCACTTTTAGTTTGTATCATCTGTCCTTAAATACGAAGATAATAAAGAATGTTTTCAATAAAAAAAACAATGTGTTTAATCTTTATCGGTCTAAGGTCATACTTATGTGGTTCCAACAACACTGCTCTGATGCCGATATAGCATGGTGAAAATGAAAAATGTTTGGTGGTGGAGCATTATGATCTGAAGTGGATTATGTAGTGGTCGCAAAACCTGTTTGGTAATCATTGAAGGCAATTCAACAGATCAGTAGTACAATGACACTGTCTGCAGCCCATATTCGTTCTGCTTCTTCAGTCAGCAAAACTTTTTTTCTGAACAGGACAATGGAAAATCTAAAGTTTCGCGACGTGCAATTCAATTTCATCACATAATCAATGTCGAAACGTCACCTTGACCCCCATATACATGTAGCTCTCATCTGTAGCCAACAGAGTATGTTTGGGACATGTTGGATCGAAGCATTCGAATGCGCCCAAAAACTATTAGAGACTCTATCGGCTTTGCCTCAGGTATTTTTGGAAGAATGGCAGAACATTCCTTTGGTTTTAGCTTTAAGCATCACAAAATTCGAGAAACATTTAATGTTAAAGTCCTACACGCTATATAAACGCCGACTTTTGTGTGAAACAAAATGATTAATGATTTGAAACAAGTGAAGTGTAATGAAAAATAATACTTTCCACAAAAATTTACTATAGACTTTGTTGTAATAAAAAAAACAATTAAGCAATATCTGGCTATTAAGAATTCAGTCTTTTCATGAATATTGATGACGGAAGTGCGTAAACAGTAGGCCTATATATATAGACACGCATATCAACGGGAAATTAGAGACAACGAGGTATGTTGCATTTCGACAACAATCATTAATAAAAGTTTTTCTTTTACTTCATTATAAATATTCGAAACAATGCGTTATCTGATTGGTTCTAAGTTATCCCCTTAATGGCAGAGTAATTGATTTAAAAGATTTTGACCGGATGTGACCGGTCCGCAGGGGATGCTCACTCCTCCATGGCACCTGATCCCACCTCTGATGTTTCGTGTTTGCTCTGCTCTGATTTTGTATATTGTTTAATGGACTTTCAGATTGAATACTGTATGTTATCTCCATATCCTTCTTGAAAGATTATTTAATTCAAGTTTATCAAAATTAAGGTTTTTAAAAGTCATTCAGCATATATGTACAATTAACATTTTTCATACGATTTTCCTACCAAGAATTTGGAGGAGTTCTACAAAATCTTTTACTGCGTACTTGACGTTTTCAAAGTTTTGGATTAGAATTGATGAGCGCTTCCCCAAGAGGTGATATCCATGCCATGATTGCTTTACCAATAGGTATAAAAACCAGTGTTTTAACACCAAGAACAAAGAACGTTGTTGCAATTCTTTCTTCTTCTTTTTTTGAAAATCATATGCATGGTTCATATAATGCATTAACAGTGTTAAGAAACAAGACAAAATGATTGAATGATTAATGTATTTATTGATTTATTGATTTAGGTTTCATGAGAAAGAAGATACAAGAGGAATTTCTGTTTACAGTTTACCTAATCTTAGTTTCAGTTTTAGTTTTAGTTTCAGTGTTTCTCAGCGGTAAAGCATACTAAGTGTAACTGAATAGGATTGAAATCACATTAGAATTAAAAATATTACGTCATTTTACTTTGTTATCAATTAAATTACAATAATTGTGGATTATTAATTACACGCATTCCTTTTGGATTACCATATGTTTCATTTCATTCATTCAATAAAGCAGTAAATCAAAGCAGCCGAGTTTACAATAAATGTCATTAATGTTCAGCTTATTGTCTATCAATTATAATACATGTATGAAGATTAAAAAGATAGTTTTATTTCTTTTTTCAAATTCTCTTTTAGAATTGTGTTTAGATTTTAATCGCAGTATTGTAAGGTATTAGGTCTCTCTCTCTCTCTCTCTCTCTCTCTCTCTCTCTCTCTCTCTCTCTCTCTCTCTCTCTCTCTCTCTCTCTCTCTCTCTCTGCGCGTAAAAATCGAAATCTGAATTCAAAGCAGCCGAATTTATACCGTTTAGAAATTTGACATATCATTTTTAATTTTTTTTTTTCACAGAATAATAAAGTTTGAAATTTTTCCTCTTCAAATCAAATCAAGCAATCAAATAGTATAAAGTCCAATCTGATTTTACTTTTCACCTTCTACCAAAATATCTTAAAATTCCATTATTTGCCTTGCAATCACTTATTCTTCTGACAACACAGAAGAAAATAATGCTTTTACTTCCTTTGATTTCAATTTTCTTTACTTAAATTTTTCTTTCATATCTTTATCTTTCATGGCTTGAAAATTATAATTTCAGAAGAAGAATAACTTCAATCGATATCGTATAGCAATTGTATAACATTTACATTGGCTCATCTTAAGGTATATTACGTTTTATATATATTTGTATAAAAGTTAATTTGATGTCATGTTTTCGGAATTCTCACTGTTTTCTACAGGTAGCAAGACTTCCTGATGGGCTTCCGTTACAGAGTTATTTTCAGTAGCATCGTCTATTACCTCTATATAAGGGTTAACATTAATGTAACTGCCGTCACTTTTTTCGTTTGAGGTAGGGACTACATCAAGGTAAGTACCATCTGCATTATCGGGATCAATGTAAGATCCGCCTCTTTGTTCACCCAGATGTTTATAACCCTCGTCTTGTTCCTCAATCATTTCATAATCTGGGTCAATGTATGTGTCATTTGGTGAGGTAAAATTGGCCTCATATGGACTCTCTTTTGTCTTTGGGAGACTTGGTAGGCGCAGTAATTCTTTTCTTCTCTTTTTCAAAAGCATTTTTCTGCGTTAAAAGACATATCAAAAATGAGAACAATATTTTAAAACATACATGTATTTGTTTGATAATAATTGACCATTTGCAACAACATTGATTATTAAGGGAAGTTGAGTTTTTGAAATGACATATCTGTATAAATGCACTTTCACAAGAAATGAAGTTATATTTAATCAGCCATAACATTTTAAAATTCATTTTTCATACAAACTAAGTTTAAACTATGAAAAGTAAAAGCACTGTGAGCATTAAGCTCCAAATCATACCCACGTCTTCATATGGTTATAATGGCCAAGTCCAGGTTTGCTCTGACAGACACGAAATATGTGTCAGATCAAAAGTGAGAAAAGGATGTACACAATGACATTGCCTAATAAAACAATCTCTCAAAGCAGCTTTTAAATTCATTGAGTCGTATAGGATGAAGTGGATATCCTTAAATGTTGTTGAGAGGCCAGCTTCCATGTTTTGTTAAGAAAACCCAGTAATGTAAAAGGTGAAATAGGACATGCACATATACAAGGACACTACGTAGAAAAGATTCTTTGAAAGTCTCAATGAATTTCATTCAGTGGTATAAGAGGAGTTGCGGATAAGGGATGGGTACCTCAAAACGTAACAGACAGACGAACAAACGAACGTACATACTTAGTGACAGACAGACGGACATCATAATTACTATATACCCACTTTTCAAACGGAGATATCCCAAAAAAGGTGAAAATTGTTTATTACGAGATCCAAAACATATTAAGAAATAAACTGTACATTAAGTACATTCAAGTACAATAAGATAAACTTTCTTGAAGACATGATCTTATTATATTCTTTCCCTTTTTACATATAGATAGAAAATGTTTCCCCATTTTGGTGATTTCCGATTTTTTTTTCAATTTATTCAGCTGAGTCCCTTTAAAATAAATAATAATAATTTTGATTTATTATTTCAGCATATTATGTATTTTTTTAAGAAAACAACCTTATCAAAAATGAAAATAACGGGATTATAACCCCACCTATCCCAGAAAAGATTCGAAAAACGGTAAGTAAAACTAGTACTGATTTTAGTTGAATTACGTGACCAATCTACTGAATAGTTCATTGCCTAATAGGTAATCAGTTATTTTTTCCCCTTAAATTGTTGGCATCTGCCAAGCATTGAAATAACATAATTTGAAGAACATAATTTCTTTTAAATGTTCAGAATACAATAAATATTAATTATTACTTTCTCACCTCATTGTAATTAGGCTGACAATCAAGATAATAATGAAAACAAAGAAAACTGCTAATACAATTCCAACTGAAAAAGATATTTTGTTTCACATCACGTTAGAGAAATTTTCGTGCATACACTGACGTTATCATATACTCATAAAACGTAAAATATTTATTTGCAAAAAAATTAAATTTCTAGCTTCATTTGAGATTTGAATTATAAACAATTATTCAAACATTTATTTTTCATGGCTGGGAAACGGATATCATTAAAACTTACCGATCAATGGAGTCTGATTTACATTTGTTTCCAATAGCTGTCCCATGGTTGTTACATCTAAAAAGGAAAATGATAATATAACCAAGAATATAAGCATTTTTTAAATACATGTAACATTTACATGTGCCTGCTATTCTCAGTAAAAAAAAACACGTTCGCTTAGCTTTGTTTCTGCAATGGCATCATCTAAGTTGTATAAAAAATCATTCGCATACCTTTACCAAATTAGGCTTGATTGATTGATTGCATATTTTTTACGACACCTGTGAGAATTTTTCATACAGAGTCGCCATTATATGCCTAGAAACGTATCATTTAGACCTTTACGCAGCACGTATGATCAATAAGAGGTAAGGGGTCTTTATGGTATGAAGGCGTACTGTGAAATAGAGTCTCTGTTTTGGGGTCTCGTCCGAAGGACCTGCAACTTTTACGTCAAAGTCCAGGAACAAATGCCAGTTATTTTTATCGAGTTAGGATATGTCGTGGACGATCAATAACCGAGTGTCCAAATTAGAACTAAGCGGAGACATTGAACTACAAAATGGTACAAAAATGAGAGAAATAATACACTATTATATGAATGGAAAATTTTACCTTATATTACATGATTGTATGACATATCACAAGGAATTTATTTTCAAATCAGATGCACCTGATTCCACTTTTGCTAATTTAGAGGTCAATGTTTTCTCTACTCCAGATTTTTATTTCCTTAATACACTTTTGAGCTTGCTCAATATAATATCGATATAGCAGACACGTCTAACTGCTTAGTTTTGAAAATAACACTTTTAAAGATTTTTTTCCAAAGAACTACCTCGTAGAAAAAAAAATCTCGCATATTGTTGCCCCCAACCCCAACCCCATCTTGGGTCGTGATTTGATAAAAAGTAGAATCTTCAATACATGTCGATTCTCACATATCAATTTGAGTTAAAAATTTCTGTTCTTTCTTGAGACGATTTTTACCGATATATTCTTATGTAACACTTTGATCCCTCATTGTGGCCACATCCCAACCCTGGGGTCAGATATGAATCTAAACCACCTTAGGATGCTTACGTTGTTCCATATAAAAAAAATTACTTATCATTGATTTGCTGTTCTGCTGAAAATTTTAAAAGGTATTTTACATGATTATAATATATTCTTATTATGTAAAAACTGTGACTACATTGTGTCCCCACCCTACCCCAAGGAGTTCTGATTTGAATAACTTGAATCTACACTACCTGAGGATGCCTTTAAATATACATTGTATATCACTAATTATGGCTTTGCTGTTCTTCAGAAGATTTTTTTTAGATATTTTTTGTAATGTTTCTATTTAAAACTTTGAGGATGTTATTTTCATATTTCGTGGTCTAGTGGTCACGAAGAAGAAAGATTGTCCAAAATATTCGCATGTAAAATCTTGATCAATTATTGTAACCCCACCGTACCCCGGTTGTCATGATTTGAACAATCGTGAATCTATACTACCTGAGGAATTTCCGTATACATGTAAGTTTCATCTTTATTGGACCAGTGGTTCTGAATAAGATTTTTTTTTATTTTCTATGTAATTCAATGTAAAACTTTGGTCTTCCAATTTGGCCAGACCTTCCCCCGATGTCCTGATTAGAACAAACTTGAATCTACACTTCCTATGGATGTAACCATATATGGGTTTTTTTGCCGAGTGGTTCTGGAGAAGATGTTTAAAGATTTTTATATGTAAAACTTAATCGTCCATTATTTGCTAACCCAACCCCCGGCTTTCATGATTTACATAAACTTGAATCTACACTACCCGAGGAGGCTTCCACATAAGTTTCATCTTTTGTGGCCCAGTGGATCTTGAGGAGAAGATTTTTGAAAGAGTATATTTAATTTTTCACTGAATAAACTTAAACCACTGTTTCCGAAGGATATCGTGTGGAAAGTAACAAATTGACCCTTTGGATTTTGAGAAGTCGAAAATTTAAGAGTATATGCACGACGCACATCCGCATGACAACCGACGAAAACAGATATCATAAGGTTACCTGCGTGACTCAGGTGACCTAAATAAGTTACCTTCATTTGGTGCATCTACAGGAAACTCGGACATTTTTGAAATGCCTAAAAATTTAAATGAATGGATTCAAAACTGTTAAATTTAATATTCATCATTCATAAACTTACATACAGCTGGGCTATCATTTATGCATAAAACTGTTTTCTTGGGGGGGGGGATTTTTTATTTCTGAGTAATCGAAACATAATCAAAAAAGATTACACTTAATTAGATATTTAAAAAACAGATATTAAAAATATTTGATAGTTATTATATAGACTCGGATCAATATGAAATATTTCACTCTGCTACGATTCTAAAAAAAATCGTTTGGAAAATATTATATATAATATTGATATTTGCTCCACATATAGGTTGATTAAAAAATTTAAAAGGAATATAAGTATTATTGATATTTGCTCCACATATAGGTTGATTTAAAAATTCAAAAGGAATATAAGTATTTGTATTTTCTTACAAAGGCTAACATTAGCAGCATCCTGGGGTATGAGATCTGAAAACCCCCTTGCAGTTGAAATTTTCTCCTTTGCAAGACAAGTCTCATTAGTTTCATCACCTATTTTGGAAACCACGCAGTTTGCTAACTGTAGAAAGTTACTAGGAAATAAAAGAAAAACAAACATTTTTGTCCTTGTTGACAAACGATGTAAGCGACTTCACCAAATACAACATCGAAGACAAACACGGAATGATTGCAAATGTTCAGATGGTTCTCTAAGCTTATGAGATGAAATATACTTACGGACACTGTGTTTCTAAAGCTTCTTTGTCAATAGGATAACGTATATTACAAGGGTTTGCATACTTTGCCAATCCTTGAAAAGTTGTCACTCGTGGACCCGTACACGGAGATTTAAAACCTATTAATAAAAACAATTTCATGTATATTAATTTCACTTTTTTCTGTCATACTATTTGGAACAGTATGAGAATACATGCACCTTATAAGAGGTATTACATGTATTTGCCAGACGCGTGTTTAGCGACTCTGCCTCACATCCGTAGATAATTTTATCGATTTTACCATATCCTATAAGATAATACCCTACAATCTTAGTGAAAAATATTTTGTTAGTAAGATGCGATATATTAATTTTTAAAATAAAATGTAAAAGGCATGTATTTATTGTCACTTATCTTTTTACATATCAACTTACGATGTTTATTTTTACATATAAACATTTTTTTCTTTTAAAATGGCGACAAATATATTATAAGCGTTACTAAAATCCTACAAGTGTTGTGTTGAGATGGCAATGGGAAATTTGATAAATTACCTTTCGTATTAAGTCTTGAAAATTATTTATTCATTTTATTCAATTTATTTTCCAACGTTTGGTAGGTTATCAAATTATTTAGTACATTGTGCATTTGAAAACTTCCCTCTAAGGTAGCTACCGTTCACTGTAGCTCAGTCGGTAGAGCGCTCGCTCCGTGATCGGGAGGTCGTGAGTTGTATCTCGGCTGCGACTGACCTAGTCGATAAAATTGGTAGCAACTGTTCCTTCGCCATGCGCTCGGCACTTTGAAGTGAAAGTTGCGGGTCCTTCGGATGAGACCCTAAAAACCGAGGCCCCGTGTCAGCGGCAGGCGTTTGCACGATAAAGATCCCTCACTGCTCAATGGCCCTGAGTGCCGAGTAAAGGTCAAAATTTGAAGCCCTTCACTGGCATACGGTGACGTCTCTATATGAGTGAAAAATTTTCGATAGGGACTTTAAACAATATACAATCAATCAATCTAAGCTACCTCTTTGGGTTAGATTTGTGCAACAAAATGAATTTCAATGCATATTAAGATAAAGATATTTAGAGGAACATGCATAAAAAGCATTTGGATTTGATAAGGATCACTTACATTGAGAGATAGACTTTCCAATTAAGCCCTCTATGGTGTTTTGATTGTGCAGAGCAATTGATTTTGGTTCAATACCAGAACACAGAATACCAGAAGAATTTTCGATCCGTCTCTTTATACATTTAATGATAACCACTATCCACCTGAAATGATAACGATAATTTCTTCTAAAACAGAAAAAATTCGGCTCTTCAAACTGTCAACAATACCTCATTACCTCACGATAACGATAGTTTCTTTTTAAGAAAAAAACATTCAAACGTTATTTCACGTACAAACTTGTCGTAAGGAGAGATGATACAATCATTTTTTTTTCCTTGGAGGAGACAATATCATGTCACAAGTTTAAAAAAAAAGTGGATCATTCTAAGAATATTTTCTCCTAAGAACTGGAAAATGAAATGGACTTCGAAAATAGTAATAGTTCAATAAAAAAAAACAAAAATAGACATAGCACAATCAGTAAAGGTTTACAGGTGAATACAAATTTCAGAATATGTTATCTTGGCGCTAAAAGTGTAATATAAACTAAAGAACAATAAACCAAGCCAGGTGAATTTTATTAGGAAAAGTAAAATGGTCAAATTTAGTCTATGTAGTATTGCTGATTTTTTGTCATTTTGTTTTTCCTCAGAGTGTGATTTGCCTATATTTGTTTTGAATTTTTGGAAATATTACCAATATTTTCACAGCAGTGTGGCATTTCATTTCCTAGTTCAAAGGAGAAAAAAAAATCAAAGAATTATAAACTTTTCTAAACTTGTGACATGATACATGTATTAAGGTCAGACGACACGTTCCTCTAAAATATATAATTTTTAAAATGTGTCAAATAAAGGTTTTCAACAAGTTTCTCAAAAAAAAGTGCTATTTCCCAGGTTTTGGAAAAATACTGCATGGTTCATATTTAAATAAAAAATCAAAGAATGGGTAATTTAAATGTGTGTGTCAATTAATTTTTTGTACTGATACATGTAAAAAGCATTTTGAAAACAATGTAAAAAAGTAGTTATTAAAAATCCATGTAATTTTTGATCTAATTTTTATTGAGGAATTTTGCTATAAAACATAAATGGTTGTGGTTCACGTGCGTTAGATATTCTTTTAAAGAAAAAAATCTTTATGCAATCGATTATAACAGGTTATTTATCAGCGGATTTTGCAAATAATCAAATTCTTATTTTTCTTTATGAAGTCTTTCTAAATATTATAAGAATTCTAAACACAACGTTTTGGTATTATCAAGAAACAAAGATTACCGTCGCATGCTGTATTTCATCATTTCGATAAAATTGGGATAAGTCATTTTAAGACAATTCAGTTTATATAAATATTTTTTTTCCAATTAATATCAAAAACATCTATCGTCATTCAGTCTTTCATTTGATATATTGTGTTTGGTATATGATAATACCTTGCTTATTATATCAGTATTATCTTAATTGAGCCAAGTGATTTCTTTTTGCCAGGTGTAAGATTTTGAATAAATTCTCTTTCACATGAATAAAATAGGTCTGCTAGTAATAAATCACCATAAGTACCAATGGACATAGCGACAGAATAACGATAAATGAGCTCTCAAAAACCTATATAGATATTTTAATCAAAAAACTAAAGCATCTTTTATTATAAGCTTCAAGGTAGATATGTGTGCATTTTTTTTTCAAATAGGCAACGAAAATGGCAAGGTATTAAATAAAATTCACCTTTTATAAAAAAAAAGTCATCTGACATTGATATAAAATTGAAAAAGTTGAGAATTAAATTTATCGGTTACATAGGTTATTGAAATAAAATATAGGGTTAATAAATGTAAATATGAATAGCCTTTCAACATGTCCTTCTTCAGAAAAGAAACTATGTGAAAACAAATCTAGTTTTAATTGATAAGCTCAACTCTTTTTACTTCAGTGAAAAAAAACCTAAAAGATTTTAATAAGATGTTACATAAAAATAGTTTTGTTTGTAAAGTTACAAGGAATTATACACATTCAATAAAATGTATGAATAAAATAAACACTAAAGCAAATTTATCTAACCTGCAGAATTCATCAGTTTCTGGTTCTGCAGAGAGACACTTCGATGTTACTTCTAATGTAAATGATTGATTAAGACAAGGCGAATCTACAACAAAGGAAAATATGCAATATATAGTACATATAGTTTATGAGATATGCATATATAATTTAATTTTTCTGAATCTACAAATTGTGTTCAATAAAAAGGAGAATCAATACAATAGGAAAATATTTTTGACGCTCTTACTACAAACGTCAACACCACAAAGTTCCCATCGAACACTTGAATTAGTCGTATAACACCAAGGTTCTTCTCTGTCAAAATTTCTACAGTAGTTCTCTTGAGCAAGACTAAAAACCCTGTAGTTTTGCTCGTGTGGAGTCTGCCTATCCCATCGTTGACATGTAAAACCTGATTCTGTTACACTTGTAGTTCCTTTGTATAAATAACCAGGCAATCGACAATCTCTCGAGATGGATTCTTCTAAAATATATTAAAACATGTTAGAATTGTTTTGTTTTTTTTTCAAACATAGATATATTTTATATGTTCCTTAATTTATAATATACACGTTTAAACAAACAGATTAATGACAGAGTCCACTTGTTTTGTTATACAACCAGCAGAAGCATACATTTACAAAATGTCCAGATTCATCTCAATACATGTACGTATAATGAAAAGGGGTTTAATTAAACGATAGTTATCGGTCTTTAAAACCAACATCTTTTAAAAACACTAACGCATAGATCAATTAATCCGAAATATTTTATAGATACCTGATGTCACTGGAGTGCCGTAAGATAGAAAATATGCGGTAGTATAAGTTGATATAATTGGAAACGTCCAAAGTACAGTTTCTGGAAACTCCAGGTAAACAGTTGTATAAAGTACAATCTTAATTAATAGGAACAATAACAAATCGAAAAGTGCTTCTGCTTTACTAAGCCTTATATTTGTATTAAGAATGAAGATATTATGATTCCAAAAATTAAATTATATCATTGTGAGTATGATTATTTTGTTGTTGTTTTTTTTCTTACAGAAGTTCTTTTAACATGAATTTTGATATTTTTTTCTTTTTTTTTCAAACATTACAAGGAGCACATTGTGGGCGTACCCGAGCAAAAAATCTGAAGTTAAAAATGTATTGACATTGTTTAGATATTAAGATTAAATACAATATGCACTCAAAAGCAACTTAATTACTATAGTTAATCAAAGTGACAAATTTATTACTATAGTAAAACAAACTTTAGTAAATGAAAGTTTTCATAGTGATCAAAATAGTGAATCAAAGTGACAAAGTGATCACTATAGTGAATCAAAGTTTTGAATGTTATCACTATAGTTAATTAAAGTGTGAAAGTGTTCACTATAGGGAATCAAAGTTTTCACAGTAACTTAAGTTTATCAAAGTGTCAAATTTTTTGCCAAAGTGTATCCAAGTGTCAAATTTATTGCTCAAGTTAATCAAATTTATCGCTATTATAAGAGTAAATAAAAGTTTTCAGAGTGTCAAAATTATAAATATCGTTAACTGTAGTTGACTATAGTTATTTTTAATAGAGAAACACCGACATCTTACGAACGAACGTAACTCTCCCTAACTTCCTAACTCTCCCTAACTTCCCGTATCTCGATAGTTTTCTCGGGACCAGTGATATAAAGTTTGAAATCGGAAGAAATAAGTATATGTGTAAAATGGAACGGATAGTGTTTTAACCACTTTGTATTTGAAAATTGCTTATGTCAATTTTTTTGTAATTACTTACAATGTTTTAACAGGTCTGGACGATTTCTAAATAAGGAAGTCAAGAACGATAACCGTGAATTGCTATTAATACACAGAATAAACAAGGCACTAATCCTTCTGACCAATCAGATAACAGCATTTAGACAAACCCGTGAGAGAATAAATAAAACACGTAGTTTTTACGGTTTTTGCTCAAAAGATTTTTTGAGAACAAACTTTTTGTAAACTTTCTGCGCATTTGGGAATAATGTTATATTTATGACAATTCTACCGTGAACAAACACGACTTGAAAGCTTGGAATACGTTTTAAGTGAGATAAAAAAAAGTGTCTCTAGGAGTTAGCAATCACAAAAGTTTAATTACGTTAAAAAATTGATATAAATACGGTAAATTTTCAGTTTTTAGAGCCTGACATAAAAATCTTATCGAAAAGATAACAGTCTTTATTATTTTTGAGTGTTTATTACAGAATACTAGTAGTCCATGCAATTTCTGATATGCAAGGTAAGATATTGGGATAAAACGCATTCATGTATAATTACAGGATTTTTTTTTCTCCACGTTAAACGCCTTTCCTTATGCCCATTTTAAGTCTGCATAGCTAAGTATTCGGCGCTCATGAAACCCGTGATAATGCAAAACTATATGTGTATACTCCATACGATAAACACTTGTGTGAGTTGATCTATACACATGGAATTTAAGCATTATCAATGAAAATCGGACGGCTAAGCAAAATTATATTTACCATCATATAATATATTCTGGTAAATGTTATGATTGAACTTGATAAAAACTTGCTGGTGCGATCTATATACCTCTGTAAATGATTATATTCTATCGTGCATTATTTTTTTCTTTACCGAGATAAAAATGTCAAGGTTGTTCACGGTAAAAATGTGGGGAATACCTTATTCTTCAAAAGTTTTCATCCTATTTCTACAGATTTTATGTTAAAAAAATCTTTTTGAGGAAAAAAACAAAAGCACGTGTTATCTTTTTGTTCTTTTAAAATATGTTTTGGGGTGTGTAAAAATGCTGTTGTCTGATTGGACAGAAAAATAATTACGTGTACTTGATGTATATTTATAGCAACTTTCGGTTATCGTTCTTGACTTCCATATTTAGAAATCGTCCAGACCTGTTTAAAAAAGCGACAAATAGAAGAAAATACACAATGATATTTTAGACGGATTAGGAAACACGTTTGTCATGCGTCAGTGAATAAAGGTAAACAAACTACTCGTAGTGTGCGCCTTGTTCATATCGGGAAATGTATTACTTTTTATAGCTTGAAAAATAAAAATAAATCCGTGCAATCAAGTGAATAGGTAGTGCGCTTTATAAAATGTCTTGTTTTGAGAGAGAGAGAGAGATAAATATATTAGAATATCACTTCAAAAAAAAATAAACGAACATTCATGGTAGACAGTATCTTGTAAGATATTAAATGACAATAAAATGGCGATCTTAACTAAATTATCTTAGGCTGCTTTTATTTTATACATATAACAGGCCTGAAGCAAATTCAGTTGGGGAAGGGGGGGTGCACAACCAAAAGTTTAGAGTCACTACCAAACAATTTCTTGGGAATTCTTGGGAAGCCAAAATAAGAAGATGATTTATTGAGGGGCACAAGTATACAGTAGCTAAGTTTTCTAATCTATAATATTACATTGTTTATTTATCGACTTCATTGGGGTGGGTGGGAGTGGGGGAGGGGGGGGGGGGGCTTATCCCCAACCCCTTAACCCCGTTTCTATATACGACCGTGTGTACATGTATATCTGTTTATTTGTGTGGATTATAAAAAAGGCTGAAAATATGCATTTATATACTAGCTAGGGTGGTGCATTTTTCTTAGTAAAGTTCTTTTCTTTGTCTTAAAGGTATGCTCCACTATGTCATTGTTTGTTAACCATGCATTATTCGTCAAAATATAAAATTAGAAGATACACTTTATACTTTTGACCACACACAGACTTATTTTGACCAACGGTCCATATAAAAACTATAACCGAAATTTTAACTTGCTTCATTTGTAAGGAAAAATAAATATTCACCACCCGGTTGTAAAACAAAAAAAGATTGATTCCAGAATACCGACCATAATATATACGGACTTTTAAAAGTGTGAATAAATTGCAAACGTAGTTGTCACTTAGTTGTCATGGCATCCTTCAAAAGTATGTGCACACATATGCTTATCAAAAGTGCTTGTAGACCAGACAACCTCCCCATACTCCAATATACATATATACCGGGTCCCAAGATAATTCACATTTGTCTTCTTTCATAGATTAACCGTCTAGTACAAATTTACAATGTATATCATATGAACAATCCAAAAAGTACATAGAATTCACTTTCAATTTTAAAAAAATCATACCTGTAGTATCTTAAATCACTTCTAACTTTTTAACTGCAGGTATCAATTTTATATGCTGTAAATTGTAAATGTTATTAATGAAAGAAAGCCAAAAAAATATCTTTGACCCGGACTTATATATATGCCATGGGGAGAGGGGGG